AAAAAAAAAAAAATTCCAGTACTTATCATATTTTCAGAAAGGCAAAGTGTAAGGTCAGGTACCAGTGATCAAAAGGAGACAGATTAAAAGCAACTGAACAAAGCTTTATTGAGATTCACTCTCCGGTCCAATAGAGCAGGTCTGGGGAATTGCACCCAGGCTCAGCAGGATTGGAATTTTCTTGGGCTTAGGGCAGAAGGGAGGGTTTGGGACAGGAAAGGGAGGTTTTTAGAATCCCTTGTTCTCCTGGGGTTGGTCAGGGAATCTTGCTGAGATCCATGTCCTTCTAGGATTTGTCAGGAGACCCTGCTAATTGACAGGTGGTTAGGAGGCACCATCACTGCTTGTCCGCCAGGGCCTGACTGGTTGTTCTTGTGCACACGGGTTGCCTGGTGCTTTGTTCCCTTAGCATCTCAAATGGATCTAACATCCGGACGTTTTTGATGATATAGGGTGGCAATTCCATCTGGCTACTTCCTGCTGTAATAACAACAACCTTGTAATATTTTGAATTTAGGCAAATTGTTTCATAGGGACGCTGGGGGAAAGGGGATGGTTCTGGTGTCGGTTCAGTGGGGAGGCAACTAACTGTAGGGGTATAGGAGCATCTAGTTGTAGGTCACTCTGGCAATTTCACTCAATGCTTCAGGCAAACCTGAGGAGGCAGGGAGCAATCATTAATAGAAGTCCTATTATGAATACAGAAGTGAGAACAGGAGTCAGCCACATAATGAGGGCAGAGTTTAGCCGGCCTGGCCAAGGGTCATTTGATTGTTGCTGTTTTAAGCCTTTCACCCAAATGACACAGGGTGTTGACATTCTTTTTGACCAATCCAGTTTCATTTATATAGTAGCAGCATTCTTCTTTCAGGAATAGACATGTTCCTCCTTTGTCTACTGTCAGGAGATCTAGGGCTCCATGGTTCTGCTTGAAACTTGAGCAATAGCTGTTTTAAGAAATCTCTGTCCTTTTAACACATGACTGATTGTAAAAACAAACGTACACAGACTTCTTTATTACTTACTTAAACCCTCATATTTACTTCATCGTATAAAGACTTTCTTATCCAGAAACATTTTCTTTTCCTTCTATTAAATATGGTTTCCATACCTAGAACCTTCTAATTTCTCTTTCCCATCTGTTAACCCCCTTTTCTGTTAACATTCTGAAACAATGTTATAATATTTTGAATTTAGGCAGATTATTTCATTTTAATAGAAATAAATGTTATTTATAATGCTCTTAGTACTCTTAATTGGAACAATTGAAACTTTGGGTCTTTGTATATAGAAATCTTTTGTAAGGTCATAGAGAGATTGAATTCTGTCTGTTGTCAGGCTCTTAGAGGTTGGAGTGAGGAATATACCTAAATGGGTGACTGAAGAAGTAGTAAGCTGGCCTTTGGCTAAAGAGACCCTGATAGCCCGGGGACCCCAGGAAATTGAGGAGCTGAGCAGCATGAGTTTGAGAAGTCTTCAGGGATAAATTACGTAGGAGAAGGTCATCCACATATTGTAAAAGAGTGCTATTCCCCAAGTCACAAGCAGTTAGATCCTGTGCCAAGGCTTGCCAAAGAGGTAGGAGCTATCCCTGAAGACTTGGGGTAGGACTGTCCATGTCAGCTGTTGATACCTAAGGGTGTAGGGTCTTCCTATGTGAAGGCAAAGAGGTAATAAGAGTCAGGATGGAGGGGCACTATAAAGAAGGCATCTTTAAGATCCAGGACAGTAAAGTAAATGTATTCGAAGGGGGAATCTGAGAAAGAAGAGTGTAAGGGTTGGGAACCACCGGGTGGATGGGAATAACTACCTCAATAATTAGGCATAGATCCTGGACCAAGCGATAGGCTCCTGAGGGTTTGCGTACCGGCAATATGGGAGTGTTGCAGGGGGAGTCAGTAGGGATGAGGAGTCTCTGGGCAAGTAACTGCTCTATGATGGGTTTGAGTCCCTCCCTGTGGGTTTTGGAGATGGGAAATTGGGGACACAAAGGAAGTTTACTTTGAGGTTTCAGCTGTATACAGACTGGCTTGTGGTGGGAGGCTATGACCGCCTTGGAGGTGTCCCAGACCTGGGGATCAACTAGGTCAGCAGGCAATGGCGTGGTAGGTACTGTTGGGTTATTAGAGAGGGTAAGGATTAGAGGCAGAAGGAAATGGGTGGTAGTATTCTTGGGGTATAGTTGGAGGGTGGCTCCTGGTAGTTGGAGAACATCTCTGCCTAGGAGAGGAAACAGACAGGATAGAATGACCATAAAAAAGTGTGTGAAAGGGTGTCCCTCCAGGGCACAGGCCAGCCTAGCAGTTCAGTTTGGGAAGGAGAGTTTGCTGTCAATCCCCATAACTGAGACCTAGGAATGAAACGGGCCCAGAGTGGACTGACAAGACAGAATAGGTATCCCCCGTGTCCACAAGGAAGGTTATGGACTTACCCACTGCTTGGAGCATTACCATGGGCTCCTCAAGGGTGATGGGGGTCCTCGAGTCCGGGCTTCTTCAGTCTTCTGTGAACCCCAATACTTCAAGAGAAGGGACCACCTGGCTGGTCATACCCCCAGTAGAGGCCCTGAGGAAGGGCCAGCCATGGGGCAGTCGCTCTTCCAATGTCCTGTCTGCTTATAGGTGGGGCCCGGCCTGGAGGGGGGCTGTGAGTTTGGGCATTGGTGATCCCAGTGACCTTTGCATCCACATTTGAAGCAAGTTCCTGGCAGAGAGGAATGCTGGATTCCCTGTGAAGCTTTCACTAGAGCCGCAGGCCTCAGGGCGGCTGCCAAGGCCTGGGTTTGGAATGTTACCCTTTTCTGCAATTGAGCCTGACTGGCTAGTTCAGCAGATTCCTCCCAGGCATTATAGACCTTAAAGTCCATCTTCACCAGATCTCAGATAGGGGTCTGAGGGCCCTCCTCAGCTCGTTTGAGCTTTTTTCCACTATTATTGGCCAATTGAATAATGAAATGGGTTGTTAACACTGTAGCCCTGGAGGGAGACTCAGGATCCAGCTTAGTATATTTGGTGAGGGCCTCTGTAAGGCAGTTGAGAAATAAGGCTGGATTCTCATCTGGATCCTGGATGATTTCTCTCAACTTATCAGTTACCCATCTTATTGGAAACCGCCTGCATGCCCGCTATAAGATATGAGACTATGCAAGTGTAGTGATAGCAACCTTGTCGGCCATCTTGATAGTCCCAGATGGGTTTGGTTAGGGGAACGGCTGCTTCACCTATGGGGAGAGTTACATCTGTTAGACGAATTTGATCAGCATGATCTCATGCAGCCTGATGGATGCGGGTTTGCTCATCCTGGACATGATGTGGTCTCTTCTCTCACATGATTGATTTTTTTCTTTCAAATTCCCAATGAGCATCTGGCTTTTTTACCAAATTGAAATGTATTATAAGCTCAACAGAGGGACTGGATGGCAGATTTTAAAGATGGAAAGAGAAGAAAATCTTGTTGCATTTTCAGAAGTATGGCAAAGGGGGAATAGCAATTTTTGAAAGAATCTTTAAACTTTAGGACATTCTTATTTTCTTTCATTTCCTTTACTATGGGGAGGGGGACGCAGCCAGTGTCTCTTTGTAGGGTTCTTTCTGTCCAGGGGAATCCAAGCCACCCTAAAATTTATACTCTCAGATAATTAGCAAATAACAAAGCACAAATACTTAGAAATATATTTACAGGAAATGAAGCCCCTAATAGATCTAGTCCACATGGGTTCTGGAACTAGACAAAGGGAAAATGGCTCTTGCTGCAGTCCAGCTGCAGCAAAATAACTGGGGGGTGACTAACTTGTGTACGTTGATACAGCAGGAGTTGGAGCCATTTATTGTAGGACAACAGAGGTATTTATACATTTTTCACAGCTTATCTTAATTAGCATAAACTAGATACATCAGTCAACCAATAAGGAATCTCCACACTTAATGGCTCACTTTTGTTACTTCACAAACCACTCCCTCTGGCATTTTGCCAGGCACCATCCAGACTTGTTTACAAACTCTAACATTTCTCTGGCAAAATACCAGGTGTTATTTTGACTTGTTTACAGACCTTAACAGGCTCTGATAGTTTATTTAAAGGGGTGCATCAAAGGCAGGGATAAGATTTCAAGGGCGGAGTCTTGTTTCCTGATGTCTTGCAGTCAGCAGGTTGATTGACATCTTGGCAGGTCACATCCATCTCAAGTGCAGTGTGGAATCTTTGGCAAAGTTTTAGGGGGAAGTTCACCTACACCAGGCCGTCAGTCCCTGGGAAGGTAGTGGCCACAGGGAGTTCCCAATGCCAGACTTATCCCCTCAGGAGGCTACTAAGTGCAACAGTCCACACACAGCCCATGGACGGCTTATGACACTTTACGATGCTTAAGTTGATAAACATTGGGCCTCCTTTGGTGATACTTTCAAGTACCTTCTGCTGAAGCATCATAATCTTTTCTACCCTTGCTGCTGCTGCTTTCCCACTTTAGGAAATATTCCTTGATCCAGGATCAGGCTAGAGAGTTGACTCATCTCCAGAAAAAGGTGAAGATTGGGAAAGCTATCTCCTCCCTTCTCATCCGGCATGTCAAGAACACAGTAAAGACCTTTGAGGAGCTACTCACCAATAACAGCATGGACCACTACATGGAGCAGCACTTCCGTGAACAGCTGGCCAAGGGAAGCCAGTTGGCAGAGAGCCTTGCCAGCAAACTCAGCACTGGTAAGTTGGTCACAAAGCTTGGGATGACCTTCAGTCCCTCCTGTAATCCTAGACTAACACAAGCTCATACCCATCCACAAGTGACTTTTCAACCTGGTGTGCTGCTTGGTAATTACCAAGTTGGGGCCATGACAGAGTCAGGACAGGCAGGTAAGGAGTTCTGAGAAGAAACACATGGGGTCAAAGATGTCATGATGATCACCAGCACCTCCACCCTTCATGGAAAGTGGCTTTCAGGGTAGGAGGTATCTCTAGGATGAAGGGATTTGTATGAAACTAAGTGGCAGAAACAAAGAAGGAATAGGGGCAGCTGGACCTTGAAAAGGGCCTTGACTAGGAGTTCAGAGGCCCTCACTCAAGCTTGGGTGTCTATTATTAGTTCTGGACAGGTTTTTGTTTGTTTTCTCACCTAAAAATAGGTCAAATACCACTAGTTCCCAAAGGCTGCATGATTGTTCTAAGGATTAAATAAGTAGAATTAACCAGTGCACTTCAAAAGATGGTAAATCATCCTGCTGATTTGGGCATGAGTTAGACACTGTATGTACTAGGACCAGGTGGTGGGAACATTAGTTATTTGAGGAGCCTTTTACACAGAATTTTCCCTAGAGCATCTGAAGGCATACAGTAACAGCAAGTTTGCGGCCACTGTACTGGGACACATGGAGGTAGGACAGGGATATGATCTCCTCAGAGAAAGGAATAAGTTCTGCATGAAAGCTGTGATGGGACACATAGCCATGGAACTGAGGTAGGACTGTGGCAGGACTTGGAGGCTCTGGCTGGAGTGGTCCAGAGGCTGGCTGAGCAGTGTCCTGTGGTCTGTGTGGAGGGGGTGGTGGTGGGTGGGGGGATAGCAGGGGTGGGGGGTGAGGAGATATTATTAGCCTTGAACTATGATTCAGGGCAGAGCAAATGGAGATGACGATCTTTGTGGTAAGCTCAGGAAAACCTGTGGGGAAAGCTCCAAGATGTCCTAGGAAAAGTCAGAGAATCCTGGACATGAGTGTCAAGTCAGCCACGAGTCTGATCCCAGATGGAATCCAGTGTTTGTAATCTTGGAAATGAGACCTGCTTAATTTTTGACTGGGCCTTGTTGAATTTATTTTTCAGATGACTATACAAGTAAGAAGACTCAATCAGGACAGGTATCACAGACCCTCAGGTAACTCCAAATTTTCAGGATGAAAGATGTAATCTGGTGAAGAATTCTAAAGCAAGGGCCAAAAGATCAGAGGAACAGGGCTCTCATACCCAGTTGAAAAACAAATGGCTTATTATTTATTATTTACTTACTCATCAAACCATTGTGTATGCTTAGGGATGAGATGGTCTCATTTTCTTTTTTTTTAAAGTTATCCTTCTCTTTGGTTCCTATTATATAAACTCACCAATTTAGTAACATAGAGTTGCTAGTTCTTAGGAGTTTCCCAGGCCCCTAGGGATCACCTCTGTTTTCCCCCTGGATGTTTAAAGATCAGAGTAAAATTATATTTGGTTTCTTCAAGGGTGACCAAGGAGATGTCAAATAGCTATAAATTTTCCTTGCAAACTAAAGTTTATACTGTGTCTTAATATTTAGAGAAGGAGGTCTAGATACTATAAGATACCTGAGAGATTGCATAGCCTCTGAAACCACTTTTAAATAGGCCACTGCAAATACTATTTAACAGATTCAGTTCACAGAGTGGATTGAACTTTATGAGTTTCTGGGTGTGTTGTGATAAAAGCATGAGTATTATTGTAAAGGCCCAATGAGTCTTTTCTCATCTTTAAGATGTTTATGGTCAATGTACTGGATAACAGTTGTTCTACCTGCCACCCATCCTGCTCTAAGGCAGAAATGAATCATTGGGCTTTTTCTATGAAGGAATTATGTCCTCACGTCTCCTGGGCTTCTTCTGCGAACCTCCAAATCAATACAGCTGTGGTTTTCAGGTGACTTTTATTTTTCTTTTCTTTCCCCTGCAGTATCTTAAGGGAGATACAGAAAAAGCGTAGAATGATGGAAGTCCTAGCAACCAGGGATGGTGCCCAGTTGCAGACTCAGGCCCAGATCCAGGCTAGAGGCCTTGCCCCACATGCTGCCCACCAACCTCTCAGCAGCACCTCCCCCTTGCTTAATGAGCAGGAAGTGCATCCTACAGTGAATGTAGCCAGTGAGTACCTAAGTAGCCTCCAATGTGGGGCACTCACACAAGGTCTAGGCAAGAGGAGGCATCTTTGCTGCCAGGCCCTGTAATCCAAGGTACTGTGATATACCTTTTTGAACACAGCTCTGGGATTCAATACCAAGTACAAGCCCCAAGAGTCTCAGGAAGCTTTTTTTCATTCCTAGTCTCATATGCTATCACTCAGTAGACCCCCTCTGACATGTACATGGTGTTGGACTTGGTGGGGGGTGGAGGAGTACAAATTGGGATGCTGATGGAGGGGATAAATGCAACACAGCCATGTCATCTTCCTGACCAGGCTAACACTGTGTCTGGGATTCTGGAATTCTTGGGGTAAAGAGACATGGTTCCTATTTTCTATTTTACCCCTAAATATTCCTCATCATTCATTGTGGATTTTTGATCCCATCCTTTTTTTGTGTGAAGGGTTTTTGTTTGTTTAATACATCTGAAAAGAATGCATATACAAAAAATTGAGATGGGAAAAAGCATTGTTCAACACTAATGAATCTACAAGTTTTAGGATTTGGGGAAGGTGGAAAAAGATTATCTAAACATTTTTAAAAACTGGAAACTGCAACCAAATAAGCTGAAAAAAGAAATCCCTATTAACACTTATGAAGAGTTTCCACAAGACTCTCGCCATGATTTTCATTAAAGAATATCAGTGGGCTAGGGGGCCTCATACCCAAAACAGAAATAAGGGAATTCCCAACTGGTCAGTCCTCTTGTTGGTAAATGTCTCCCACCCCATCCACCACCAGCTTCTTCATGAAGCAGGCCCACATCCTCAAACCTGCAAGGATGCCAATCATCCTGCAGGCATCTGTCTTCTAGCACCACCCCTCATAGTTCTATGTGCCAGGTCTTCAGCTGGGTTCTAGGACCACCACACAGTGAGTTGCAAATCTATGCTAAGTATATAAAACAATGACTGACAGGGGAAATTTTGTTTTTTAATTACAAACCAAATTCATTTGGTGTATTTCAAAAGGTGCAATACTTTTCTTCATTTATCAATGAAAGAAATTAGAAATGAACCCCCCCCCCAAAAAAACAGCAAATAGCAAACAAATTTCCTTGAAAGTCACAGTCACATACAGAGTGCATCCTAGAAAAGAGAAGGGGCAAGACAGCTTCCACCCATCTTCATGAATTTCATCAAATACTGGATCTACTCAAGGGTGGAGAGAAAAGGCAACTTTCAAAAAGGAGTATATTATTAAATGAGGCATTTACTATACTCCTTCCTAAGAGCACCAGGTGGAGAACACATTTTCTAAACTAGATCTAGGAAGTCGAATGTGGAATAAATTTGTCCTCCTCTCCTAAAAAAAGACTAAAAAATAAACCGCACATACACCCCCACACACATACACCCCCACACACATACACCCCCACACATACCAAAAAAGGGGTGGGTGGGCAAAACTGTCCAAGATTACTCATTACTCTCCAGGTTGGAACCAGGGAATGGCTTCAACAAATTAGTCTGTTACAAAGTCATCACAAGCATGCCTTGCTTTTAAACAACAACAACAAAAAAAGTGCTTTTTTTTTCTTTTTAAACAATAAAAACTAGTAATTGTCACTTTCTGACAATACACAATTACTCAAAATTAACTAGTATGGCGGGGTGGGGGGTGCATACCTATGGGCCTTGTCTCACATGAGTACATGTGGGTAGGTGCAGGGCATTGTCATTATTGAAGAAATGAATTTTAATTTTTAATCTTTAGTTTGATTTAAACATTGCTTTTAGTATGATGCCGACACCAGCTGTGCAGAAAGGACTTTGAAGAGATGTTCATAGCAGCACACACCTGTGGCTCTTCTTTGGTTCTGGAGGCTCCAGGGCAGCCAATATTGCTACATCAAACACATTCTTTAGGCCTTTCTGTTTGAGTGCAGAACACTCCACATACTTGACAGCCTTCAGATCACTGGCCAGCTTTTCAGCAGTCTCTGGAGTGATAGGCTTCTGTTTGTTCTTGGCAAGTTTCTCAATAGTAGATGGGTCATCTCTAAGATCAATTCGGGTCCTGACAAGCAAGAAAGGAGTCTTTGGACAGTGGTGAGTTATCTCAGGCACCCACTTTTCTTTTACATTTTCAAATGAGGATGGAGAGACCACTGAAAAACAGACTAGAAATACATCTGTTTGTGGATAACTCAGCGGTCGTAATCTGTCATAATCCTTTTGCCCTGCAGTATCAAAAAGTCCAAGAGTATATGGCTCTCCACCAATCATAACTGTGACTGCATAGTTGTCAAAAAGAGTTGGTACATACTCGGATGGAAATTTCTTTGTTGTGTAGGATATCGGGAAGCATGTTTTACCAATAGCACCATCGCCCACAACAACGCACTTTAATTATCTGCATTGCGGAAATAGTTTGTATCCACTTTAAATATTTCAAATTTGAAGACCTAGCTTCTCTGCCAGGGCTTTGGCAGCGCTGCGCGGGATCTCCTCGGCTCCCATCCAATATTCTAATGATTCTGCAAATCCATCTGTAACTGGACATCTAATGATATTCAAGATGAGTCTGTCACCAACCACATCAGCATGCCCTTCCCTAGATTCTTCTAGGAATGTCATTAGGGTGGGCTTGGTAGGGAAGGGAGGAAAAGAGTAAGTAGTTTTAAATCAACCTTTAATTTTCTTCCCAGTTTTCTCTTTAATTTCCCTAATTGGAAAAGAATTTAAATTTTTAGGCAACTATATTAGTCAAGTCATGATGTGGTCAACACCAAGAAGTCTTTCTTAGTCTCTGGATATATCTGATCTACTTTTCCAGATTGACTATTTTAGGCAATGAATGAATTATAATGGTTTTAACCTGGTACTATTCCTTTTTTTTCATTTCACCCTGAAAAGCAAAGCAGTAAAATATTTCCCCTAAGATTATAGTATAAAGGAAAGACAGGAAATTCACATTTATCAAGCATCTATTATGCCCACATTTCTTACCACTATCCATTTGTTGTCCCATTTCATTGGCACAGTGATCCCCTCAAGTAGGTGGTGGTATACCAGTCTTATAACTGAGAACACTAAGGCCCAGCAACATTGAGGAACTTACTGAAGACAACCCAGCTTGAGGTAACATTCACTTCAAGTGCACCTGACTCTGAAGGGTAGGGACTATATACTGCACTTTGCAGTATGAGCAACCAAGAACAGAACAGGGAGGGTACTCACTCCTTCTCAGAACCTCTTTTGCCAGGCTTCAGAGCCAGTGTTTTCCATGTTCCACTCTTTCTGCCCAACACAAAGTTATAGTCTCTACAAATGGGTCAAGACTACATATAACACTTCTTGCCCTTGGTACATATCTGACCTAGTCCAAGGGGAGAATGGGAGTTTTATTTTCATCCTAAAACTTAGTTACTCAAAAGCACATTGTTCAACTTAGCACTATCCTGGGAGATGGCAGAAAGTAAGAGAAAAGATGACACTTGCAAATCCCTGCCACTATTTTCAATAAGTGAGATGTCACCTCTGGAGTGATTCTCCCAAAGAGAATCATTACTTTCTACTACCTCTACCTTTTCTGAGGGATACTGAAAGCCTTTCCCTTCCATTTGAAGTTATCCTAATAGAGAAACAATTGTTTATCACTTTTCCTTTTTTTTTTTTTGAGCCAAATTTATAAAACAGTCAAGCAATAATCCTGCTGGCATGGCAGCTACACTGTAGGCTAAATTCCCCCTCACAAAAGTCTGGTGGTGCACATTCCTTGAGCTGAATAGCCAGGGCAGGGTGGAACATGAAAACTCTGACCACTGTGATTGACAGGCTTGGAAACTCCTATGATCTTGGTTAAGAGTCAGCTGACTTTATGAATAAAAGAAATTTAAAAGAGATGGGGAGTCACATTTTGATTGAGTTCCTACTTTCAGTGAGGCATTGTGTTAAAGGTGTACTGATTTCCCAAACACTTTATTTCACAGTAATTCTAATTAGTATCGGAAAGTTTTAAATTAGGGGAGGGAATATTTATATCGTTCCCTAAAGGAATGGCTTGGCTTAGGACAAACAGAGACCTCACTCCTATATACTCAGGGGAGAAACCCTTCTAGTTGATGGCCCTTGGTAATGATCCTTGAAAGGGGGAAGATTATTTTTTTCTCTGAATTATGTCCCTGCCACCCCAGCTAATTTTTACCTCAGAGGGAGACAATAATGAAGGGTCCAAATGACATGACCATGTTCTCAAAAGTATTTTCTGATTCTACAAACCCCCCTCCCCGATAAGAGTATTTAAGACATTCTTTGGACAGGTTCCAGCCAATTAAGCTATATTTAAGAATTATTTTTGTGGTGTTGTGAACCATTTTGGCCAGGATCCAAGTCCCTCAAAGACTCCCTCAGCTTCAGTATAGGTTCAGAGTCAGCTGAGGCAGGAGTGGTGGGAGCCACCAGGAATAGAAGCAGTGCTGTTCTAGTTCTCTTCATCCTGGCCCCCATTGCTCCTTCATTTTCCTGCAGCTCCAATATAAAACAGTCCCATGAAGATCAGCAGATGTGTTGCTGGTGAGGATATAGACTGTTAGGTGATCACTTAATTGTGCACAGACTAGCAAAATGTTCATCCCTTCACTTTCTTGACTCCTAAAGATTGGCAATGAGTTCTACTATTGGAGGAGACGTTTATGAAGTACCTCCCTGGGATCATTCCAGCATTGAGAATCCTAGAGGGAGCTAAGAAAGGGGCTGCTGGACAATTCTTGGATATGTTCTTTGACCTTCAGATATTACATCCAGTCATTTCTTTTTGATGTCCTTGGCTAGGAAGTGCCAATAACTTTAGGATGAAAACTATAGTCCTTGGGAAATGTGTCTTCATCTAACTGATATTCAACAGTAGGCTTGGAATTACTGATGTCTGACTTCATCTTCATTCCTTGGAATACTTTGTTAGTTTTCTAGGGCTTCTACAACAAAGTACCACAAACTGGGTATCTTAAAACAACAAATTTATTTTCTTGCAGTTCTGGAGCCTAGAAGTCTGAAATCAAAGTGCCAACAGGGGCGTTCTGCCTCTGAAAGCTTTAGAAAAGAATCATTCCTTGCCTTTTCCTAACTTTCGGCAGTTTCTGGGAGTGTTAACTTTGCTTCTAGACATATCACTCCAATCTCTGACTCTCTTGCCTTGTGGTCTTCTTCCCTGTGTTTATCTTTGTGTCTCCTCCTCTTTTATAAGGACATAAGTCAAGTTGGATTCAAGGTTCACAGTAATCCAATATCATCTTTTTTTTTTTTTCCACATGCGGGAGGGTTACTGGGGATTGAACTCAGGGGCACTCAACCACTGAACCACATCCCCAGCCCTATTTTGTATTGTACTTAGAGACAGGGTCTCACTGAGTTGCTTAGTGTCGCACTTTTACTGAGGCTAACTTTGAAGTAGGGATCCTCCAGCCTCACCTCCTGAGCTGCTGGGATTACAGGCATGTGCTACCGTGCCTGGCTCCAATACGGTCTTATTCTAACCAATTACATCTTCAAAGACCCTATTTGCAAATAAGCTCACATTCTGAGGTTCTAAGTGGGAAAGAATTTTTGGAGGACACTATTCTACTTGTGATAATTACCTTTAAAATACTTCATTTGTGACTTCCTTTGGTTCTCACTCACTTTCCATTCTAAACAGATGTCAATCCTGTCATTTCTTCTGATTCAGCTGCATTGCCCAGCAGCCATTCAGGAGCCAGGTCGGCTCAGCTGAACAAGACACCAGAACCTGAGCAACATGGCAGCAGTGGCCCATGGGAAGAGATGAGGCCTCAGAAAATGAATGCATCCGGGGACCTATCCTCCTTCTCCTGGTTGTACCAGCCTGGCTCCAAATCCTCTGGTAAGACACAAAAGAGTCTTTGTGGTAAAACAGAACCCACTAACAAGGACAACATACTCCTTTTCTGGCCAGGGAATTTTATTCTTCTGTAGAACCTAACTCACAGAAGTAAGTGGGAAGATGAAGGGAATGTCCTAGCAATTAGCCATAATATTAAATTTCAGATCAGTGCTGATTCTCCTATTCTCCCCATCTAGGACTCACTCTGGCACAGAAGGATAAAGGAAGTCAGGGTCATTCTGAGGTGCTCTTCAGGGAAGTTTAGTTGCCTCAAATTCATGTACTCTCTTCTCTGTGCTACAACCTTCTTAGACCTAAATTTAGACTGTTCTAGAATGCCAACCTCAGCCTTCCCTGGGGAAGGTCCTGCGTAGGTAAAGAGCACCTATAGGAAAGGAAACTATTTCCACAGAATCACCCATCTCTGTGCTTCTCTCTCTTTCTCATTCTCTCTCTCCCTCCCTTCCTCCCTAACTCCTTCCCTCTCCCTCTCTCCCTGTCTCCCTGTCTCCCTGTCTCCCTCTCTCCTCACACACACCATGCATACGACCACAGCTGATCCTACCCTCTTAAACTTTGCTTTTGAATTTGGATCCAGGCTTCCTAGAACCCAGTAGCTATGAGTACACTTATGTATTGAAAAGGTTTAAAGCAGCCCAATTTCTGGGTCCCACATAAGACCCAGAAACAAAAAGACATTTTGAATTTTTAGAGAAATCTGGCCCTAAATAAAATGTCCTAGTGGATGAAACCTATTCTTTCCTTCCTTCTCTCCTTTGTGTATATTTTTCCCACCCCTTTCTTGGAAATTTCCATCTCTCCTTTTCCATTGTCCACCCACCCAGACTCTTCCATGTTCCTCTTTGCCAAATTTGTTTAAAGGAAAGCATTCAGTATCATTCATTATTATTGAATCTCATATACAATTACTCTTTCTCTCTATGAGTGATTGAACATCAAAGCTAGTTCAGTCAGGGATTATCAGATTGGAAAAGTGTGAGGTAGAGAGGGAGGCCTTCTGGATTGTTCCATCATACTTAAAGGGTAAACAAACCTTCCCACTGTTAGGCCAGACCTATTTAAAGGCCTTCCCCCTATTCCCATATTGGGGGAAAAAAAACCTTCTGTTTTCATCTCCCTTATATATGCACTCATCCTCTGTCTGGGAGGAAGCCCTAGGGAGTTTCTTTAAAGGGGGCTATCTTGTGATTGAAAGCACAAGAGTTATTTAAACAAAGTTATGTAGTGCTTCCTGGCTGCCCAGGTGAGATGAGGAAGTTGACAGAGAAATTTAGCAGTGGGTGGGGATCTTTCATAGTAACCTTAGGCAGGTCCCATACCCGCCCAAAAGTGATCAGCCTTCTCCACCTCCTACCTCTCACATGTCTTAATGGTATGCAATAGGGGCCAACCTGCTGGAAAAGAATCTTAGTGAGATCCAGAACCTGCGCCTGCGACTGGAAGAATCCCTCTATATCAACGACCGCCTGAGGGAGAGGCTGGAACACGTGCTCAGCAATACTGACCAGGGGAAAAGTAGGAAAGGCTGAAATCCGTTTCTGTCCATATCTAAAGAACCTCAGAAGGGCACACAGGTTTTGGGGGCAGAGTTTCATAGTTTTAAAGCATATTAGTATACATTATTTCACATTATTGTCCCTACTTTATATATGGAATCATCCAGTACATGTAAGTCTAAATCTCATTCTCAGGGATGTACTACCCATTCTTGTAATTCCTTATACCATCTAGTGCTGTTCTTGACTTGACTGGCAGGTAGTGGAACCAAAGTCTCCATGGTACCCACTTTGGTACAGGAGGACCACATTCCACCTTTGTTCCCTTCCACATGCCCTGGATACCACCTGCAACTTCCCTATGTGAATGGCCTTTATCCCATTCTCACCTTGGATGCTTTCATTTGTAGACCCACTCTTCCATACACCTTCTCCCTTGTCAGGCCCAGAAGAATGACAACCAAGGCATTTACTACATCACAACAGCAGCCGATTAGAAACCTGATCCACAAATGCAGCAATTTCATGCAAGAATATATGAATATGTGGCCCACCAGGGTATACTAGACAAAAACTGAGTCTCAGCCATCTTATATTGTTTTCTCAATACATGAGGCTAACAGGTATTCTGCTTGACTGGGACAAAAACTTTAGTGGGGGCAGGGAAGTATAGCATAAAGTGCCTGTTACCCGGATGTCTTGTCTTTGTTGTTTTTATTCCCTGTGATACCTCCTTGACCTCTATATTCCATGGGAAGGATAGGGTGGGTGTCCACACCTGAGCTCTGCAACAAGAAGGGCCTCAAGGAAGCACAGTGGAGTTTTCAGGCTTTCAGAGGGTGAAAACTAAGCTGAGGCACTCATATTCCATATTCCCTCCTTTCTACATAACCAGTATAGAAGCAAAGAGAAGAGGTTAAAAAGTATAAAAATTGCTCAGGACCACCCAATCCAAAAGTTTCATCTCAATCTAGACAAGTCTACTTCTTGTAAGATCTCATGTGTACACTCCCAACTCCTGGGCCCAAGAGTAAATTGCAGGTGCAAGCCTGTAATCCTAGCAACTCAGGAAGCTGAGGCAGGAGAATTGCAAGTTGGAGATCAGTCTGGGCAAATTAAAAAGAGAGACCTTCAAATTTTTTAAAAAATTTATGAAGAAATGAGAATATAGCTCAATGGTAATAAAGTATCTCTGGGTTCAATTCCAGTATGCAAAAAAGAAAAAAATAGTAAATTGTTCTAGAAAATCTGCATTTCATTTATAAGCCCCTATCCCCCATCTTTGAAGATAACCAGTCACTGATTGTCAATTAGATAGCAGCTTGGTGCCACTCTGCCTGCCCTCCCACTTCTAGATGAGTGTAAAATAGTAGGGGAAAGAATATCAGTTTTTGATGGAGCAGTCAGTGAAGAGAATCCCCTAACCTCCTCCAGACTCCATTGAAGCTCTGTCTCTCCCTGCCTAGGTGCCGTGCAGTCAGTCTCAGATGGCTGCCTTCCAACCCCTGGTTCATAGACTCAGACTCACTCTTCTGGCTCTGACCAATACATCCTGTGACATAATGCCTACAGGAGCTGAAAGAATCCTCTTCAGGACTTTTCCTGCCTTATCCAACAACATACTTGAGTGTGGACTTGGAGGTATCAAACATTACCTTTTAATGAACAAATTAATAAATTATTATTTAAAATTATTGTTTGCATATATTTATTGAATACCTACAAAGAGTAAAATTTATGTAGCAAGAATGACCTGAAGTTCACAGAAAAGTTTAAAGGAAAAATGAGTTTTCTCTCTTCACTATCTCTACTTTAAACGACAAATAGAAAGTCCGCTGATGGGAAAAGGTAAGAAATCACAACAGAGAAGTTTTAGAACTCCTTTACTCCCTTAGAGACTCAGAACAGAAAAAAACATCATGTATGGAAAAGTGGCAGGATAAAAACTATTTTAGGTGAGGACAATTTACTAGACCCAGGTAAGCTCCCATTCAAGAGAATGATAGAACCTACTTCTCAATGTGGGAAACCAAAAAGATCAATCATAGAGTTGCCTCATGGCTGGAAAACAGCAATTGTCAAAATTCCAAAATGATAAAAGAGAATATATATTTTAATATTTGTAGAGAGAGCAAATTTTGATATTTTGTAAACTAAGAAGAGATTTATTTAATTAGATATTATAGAAATACCTAAGGGCTGGGGATGTGGATCAAGCGGTAGCGCGCTCGCTTGGCATGCGTGCGGCCCGGGTTCCATCCTCAGCACCACATACCAACAAAGATGTTGTGTCCACCGATAACTA